TTTTACCCGCGATCCCCCGCGTAATACTTTGCGACCCCTCTGGGGGTCGCGACCCACAGGTTGAAAAACACTGAGCTGGACCATAGAAATTATTTTACAGCATGTCTAGTTAATAGCTTATATAAAAGAATTTTCATTGCCTTTTAATACAATTACCATTACCACTTTTAATATTTGTAAACAATAAACATTTGTTTTATTCTAGAAATGTTTACTATTTCAAAACTATTAAGCACAAGTACACTGGATATTTTTAATTTTCAAATTAAATTCCTATTTTGTTGTTTATTTATATATTTTTTATATTGTTTAAAGTTATTTTTTATGGTTTGTCACTCATTTATTAAAAATTTTTGTTCTTTAATGTATAGAAATTGAGTAATATTGAGTTTAAAAACTCTGAAATAGTACATGCTATCTGAAACAAGATAAAACAGCAGAACCTGTGTTTAGCAGGAATTCCTGAGACTGCCATTTAAGACCATCTACTAATTAAATAACTGTCATATGGCAGTTATTTTACATCCAGCAGTTTTTTAAATAGTCAATACAGATTCTTATTTTTGGCTAATAAAACCAACTAGAGACTATCAACAATTTTGTCATGTCTCTTTTGTTATATCTATCTTTAAAAAAACCAAGACCACTTAATCAACTCCTATAAATATCTTTCATTACAAAGCATTTTGGATACGAAACTACATCCATCATCAGGAAACTGTTTTCTCACAATAAAGAAAGCTACCACTTAAGCAACCTTCATACAAAAAAAATCAACCAAAAATAGTTTTAATAGTTTACAAGTCATGACTTGTAAACTATTAAAACTATTTTTAGTTGTTCATATTCATTTACATGTTTTTTGGTACTTTAGTCATTTGCACATTTTTCATTAGCATATTATTTAAAGTCCAGCATTCTCTTGTTTTGAATTTTTGTTCTCAAACTGTAATATTTGAATTAGATTCATCAGAAATATGTTTATGTTCCATGCATTTTGAATAAAAACTGTCATTCAATCACCATTTTATCCCAAAGAAAGCCTATAAAATAACAACTAAAAACATTCAAAAATTTAAAATATCATTGCATTTTAAGGTTTCTTTCATGGTGTGGTTATTTAATACAAGTGCAGTATCCAAAGTAGTGAATTAATGTTAATTTTACTAACAAAAATATAAATTCTTTAAAACTGCTTTTCATTAATAAAGGAATATTCTACATATTTCAAATGTTCAAAACAGAAAAAAAATTTAACAAAACAGGTTCACTAAGACAAAGAAGGGATCTGCTCCTGGATCTTACCCTCAAGCTCCATACAAGCTCTCAATGACATGAAGGTAATGTCACTATAGTATCTTAAAATTGCTATCCCAATGTCCTTTAAATAGGCTTACAGAGAAGATCCACGCATTTATCGTTAATACAAATCAGCCTGCATTTGATTTTGTTTGTTCTTGATAAAGGTCATTAAAGATGAACAAAAATGTTTGAAATTACTAATAAATATGGCTGCAGTTTATAAGATTTTTGAGTAGTGGATCTTTGTTATGAAATGCAGTCTACGAAGAGATTAAATAGGGCTTACAGAGACTCACTGTTTCAGAATTGACTTGTTGGTTGGAGGTATTTGAATCCCATGCATGCCTGTGCAATGTAGTCAAAAATAATCATCAGAAGAGCTGTTTAGGTCAGATGGGACAGACACAAACTGCTGCAATGATGTCTTTGTCCATCATCTAGAGATAAATGGAAGCCTTCTTACAGAATCACCTCTTCCTATATTATTGGTTGTGATAGAGAAACATAAACTGCTACGGAATGACATGTTTCATCTTTAGCAATAAATTCCAAATCTGTTTAGAAATGAAGAACCATCATGTTAGAATGCTTCAATTTCACCTTTATGGCTAAGTAGCACTCTGCTCCACTGCTGGCTTTCTGGTTTATGATGCCATCTTCTATGATAATCAATCATAATTTAATAGTGATATGAGACACATTTAAAAAATCCTACATCATTGCCTTTTGGGGCCATTTTCCAGCAAGATAATGCTCAACTGCACATAGCTACAGTTTCCCAGAAATGTCACTGTGACATTGACACACAGACTTGGTATGTCCAGTCTCCAGATTTGTTATCTATCAATCATTTGTGGGACATGATGGGCTGTCAGTTTCATATGAAGAATGCATATGAATATGCAAATGCATATAAGGAATTCAGAGCATCAGTTGCAATATCTGTGGAGAAGTCTGTCACAAGATAGCATAGAATACCTGTACGCTTCCATGCCCTATTGTATCATGACATGTTCCAAGCAAGAGGAAGTCCTATAAGATACTAAAGGTGTAAGGAACCAAGTCCGAGCATTATTTTTATTTACTTTTATTTTTGCTTTTTATTATATTTTGTTTGGGGCTTATGTTTTGTTAGGACGAAGGTTTCCTCACCATTCACCTTAGAAACTTAAAAATAGAAGAGAAACCAACTCACCGAGAGAAAAGCGCCGTAGAAAAAACTCATGCACACTTGCGCTCCCGAGCGGAAAAAATAGGTCCGCACCGAGAAAAGGGGGGAGACCCCACAAGCACAACTTAGGGACTCGCTAAACCTTAAAGAATAAAAAACATCCCCAAAATTGTCAAAAAGGATAATGTAAAAGGTTAGCGAGTAATGTCGGAAAATAGGCTGCCAAACAAACAGAAAATTTATTGTTAGCGAATAAGTATGTAAATGAGGGGAGTGATCGCAGTCAGAATTGTGACGTCACCTCACAGTATAAAAACCAAACGTCAAGTGAAGACAGGAGAGGTGAACTCCAGTTAGCAACGAGCTTGGTGAGCTTCGTAGCAGTGAACGAGAGAGGTGTCCGATAGGATCAAATAGTTCCAAGGTGATTTTGAAGTTATTCGATTTGTGGATCGACGAATAGAGAAAGTCTTGAGAGTTGAGGAAATAGGTTCCTAGTATATTGAGGTGACGATTAGGATCTTTAATTCATAAGAATTATTGTATATAAGTTAAGTCTTTGAATTTTGTCGAATTCCAGAGGGGAATAGATTTAAGTTAGAAACTGATTTGATTTGAGTTTTGTCGGGTTGATTCTTATTGAGTTTCATTGAATAAATTGTTATTTGATTTTTACTAAATTTTGTAAATAGTTTATTACTAGAAATTAATTAAATATTTGATTTATTATTGACAAACTTGGTCATTATTTAATTTTGGTGCATGCTAAAAGTCCAGGCCTGGCACACTAACGCGAATCCGCGTAAAGTACCTGTTAGGGAACGGCTATTTCTGGCACACAGTCATGTCGATAATCGTTGGAAAAATAAGATAGTACTTTACAAAGGTTTCTTCAAATTGCACTGTTGTTCCACAGGAAATCATCCCTTGGCTATGACATTGTGACCACTTATCATTGTCATTGCATTTGCACTAAGAAAGTTTCATTCAATTCTAATGCCTCCTCCTTACTGCATAACTTTTTTGTCAAAGAGTGCAATATTGTTTTTTCTTTATTAAGTTATTTTTATAAAGGAATAAAAACATACAGTGGGTAATCATTTAACGAACATAATCCATTCCAAAATTTTGTTCACTGTCCAAATCGTTTGTTAACTGATTATCAATTTATTTAGATTTTTATGGGAATTTGATTAATTAGTTCTGGAGATTCCAAAAAATAAAAAATATATACTTTCTTACTACGTTTATTTATATGTAATAATAAAAATACATATATTCACAGTCTTACATTTTTATTAGTCATTTTTTTCCATTTGTGGGGGTTAAAGAATCTGTCTAATGTCAATTGCTTTTCTCTCTTCTTCAGGATTTTTCAGAAGTAATTAATAACATTGTAATTGTAGAGATCCCTAAGCCTAGTAACCTCAACCTGGTTTGGATGCCATTCTAAGACTGTTGTTCTGACATCTGTCTGTAGTCTTCCCAGTTCTTTAAAAGATGTTTAATAGCATATGTCAGCCTTAATCCTCTTTTTCAGAAGAAAACATATCTTACCAAGTTTCTTGATGTTCTTCATTCAAGAGTCCTTGGCATTCTTCTGTCATCAGATCAGTTTCAGGTTCCATTATGAGCTCTTCAATGTTTATTTCTCAGATGTGATTTTTGTTACTCCTTTAGCTGCTTCAGTCTTCTTGATAATAAGTATCTTAGATAAGATTGAACTGCGGCCTACTGTACACCTATTCAAACCATACTGCTCAGCAACATCAGACATCTGCTCATTCTCTACTTTTGCTATTATACTCTCACCTTTCAAAAATAAAAACAGACACAAAACTTAACGAGTGCCTACCCAATAGTCTCGCCAATACTATAAAAGAATTGTTCCTGTCAGAAAAATAAAAGGCTGGAATTACAAGGGGGAATTTCAATGTTCAGAGGAATACTATCCAATCAGTGCATACCAGGTTGAGCGTCGATGTCGATGCCTCCTGTACTCCGAAAAGTTTTGAATTGTTGCCTGAAAACAAGGGATGACCAATCAATATTCATTATTTCAAATCGCTTCTTCTGGTGTTTGTTCTGTGAGGTAATTCATTAACCAAACATGTGTTATTTGTCCAAACATAAAAATCTTTCACAAAAGTGTTCGTCATCTGATTTGTTTGTTAACCAATCACCCACTGTATTTTATTAAGACAAATCCTCTTTTATATATTTTATACTATTATATCACAGTTGTGTTTAATTTAATTTAATTCAAAATGTAGACTAATATTTGAATTTTGCTATTTGTGTAGATTTTTAATATTTTTTTCTCTTTTACATCATGCAATCTCTAGTCATATTATTCAAGAGAAATGGTAACAATACAATAATATTACATTTATCATTAAAATAATAAATTACTTTGTGTTCAAGCTAATTTTTGTGGAAGAATAACTTATCACATTCTTTTATATTTCCATATTTATGATTAAAATGTTGGTAAATAAATTTACATTATTCTGTATATTTATTTAACAATTAGGATTAAATTCAATAGCTCCAAATATATTAACAATTTATTTAAAAATAAATATTTTAAGATCACAATTACAATAAAACTCAAAAAAATAAACATAATTATTGACTTACCAAAAGATGCTCTTCTTGCTTCAGAATATTCTAAATATTGATTTTGATCCATATTTGCAGTTTGTTGATCTGCACGCTTATTAAAATAAATATTTATTTAATATTAAAAAAAGAATATATTACTATGAAATCCTAAATAATATATATAGTAATATATTCTTTTTTAATATTAAATAAATATTACAGATAAAAATTAATGTATTAGATTTATGCATATGTTTAAATAAAACAAATTTTGTGATCAATTACCTCACTGACTAATGACTAATCCCTTTAAAATTACAAAAAACAAATAATAAAAATATTATAAGTTAGAACATATAAAAAACAAATATTACTATGATATAACAAATTCACAAAGGATAAAATTGTTTTTCATTTAAACAAAATTTTTAAAACACTGAATTCAAATTTAGCATTTTAAGAATAGTACTAATATTTGTTAAATTAAATATTTTTAAGATAGTAATCTAAATGCATTTATATTAATAAAAGTAATAAAATTAAATATAAAGCAAAATATATATCTTAAAGTTCATAAAACAAAGAATATTTACAATTTCTCTTTCTATCTTGACTTCATCCACAACTTCATCTTCAACTTTATTATATAATCCTCCAATAAGGCTTATAGAATTAAGAAAATCTTGACATAATTTAGCTCGTTTTAAACGTGGTTGAACTTTTGATTCACCTACAACTATATAATTAATAAATAAATCAATAAATTTACTGATTCTATTATTTAGAAAATTTCAATTTCTTCAAACCAACCTCCTGTATCAGCAATATCTTCTTCCTCTAAGCCACAATTCTTTGTGATAGTATTTTTTGTATCTTTAACACTAAGATAATGTAATAATCTTGAAATTTTTGTCTAAAAATATAATATATACAATTATTTTTCAGGAATTGAATTATTATTTAAATTATTTCATCTATATCAAAATACAATAGACAACATTTAATATAAAACCCAACTCAATATAATGTAACTTTAAAATTTTTTAAATTGTTTATTAACAGTCTTACAACTAATATAAAATAATGTTGACTCTTATTAGAAAACATAACTAAAAATGTAATTTCTTTAATATAAATTATTTTTTTTATAATGATTGAGAAATAGTAGTAGTAAATTTATTACTATATAACAAAAATTAAATTTTCTAAATTTTCTTCTTAAAATGGTTGAATTTAATATAATTATAATAATGACAATGAAGAACTGGATTGCAAAAAATGAAAACAAAGTTTGAATAAATGGAAACGAATTATATGACAAAATAGCATCATAATTCTAGAGAAATATTTCTTTACAAATGACAAATAAATATAGAATGGCAGTATAATTATATTTTTCAATAATTTAAAATCTATAATATAATTTACTTTTGTCAAAACAAAAAAATATTTTATATAATTTTGTTTGTTTTTTTAATTTTATATTATATTTTAATTTGTAACATTGTTAAGCTATTTTATTGTACCGTTTTCAATAGTGTAACAAAAAGAAATATTGAAATATCAGTTACTTGACTTTATTAATAGAAATTGAAAGACTATGCACTTGCTCAACAGTATGTTAATTCTGCTCTAACAAACTTGATTAACCATTTTCTGAGTTGATTAATTCAAATTAGGATATTCAGAATGATCTCTATATGTGCAATAATATAACAATCTCACAATCTCATTTATCTTAATCCAATAATTTCCAGAAATGCCTATAATACTAAACAGATTACTTTACATAGTCAATTAGCTATAACAACAAGACCTATTAACTTAAATGATTTAATGAGAAGAACACACAAATAAATAATGCCATATGAGAAGAAAAGCATTGCAATTGGGAAAAAAAATATTAAAAAATATTCTTTAATTTCAATCTTAAAACTTTAAAATTTTTATTACAAAATTAAATCTTACATTATATAAAATATATTTTAAAATTGCCAATGAAACTATAGATTAATGTACAGTACACATAATTTTATTCAATTCAAATATTGATATCATTAAATAAACAAAAATCATCACTAAACCAGATATATTTTAAAGCTGTACACCAACCAATGCCGAATATTATCAGGCTATTTGTTTGTTTATATATGACTTGCGGGGTTTGCAATGGCTGGTTGAGTGTCTTGGGAGATGTTTATAGGACGTGTGTGCTGGATGCGTCCCCAGCCAGCATTGTAATGACCATCGATGGTCGTAATGTATGCTTATATATACTGGAAGAGGAGATCGGACCAGAGGTCTGGGTAGCATAATTGGCAATGCATCTGCACGGTAAACAGGAGTTGTGGGTTTGACAATAACTTTATTAATTTTATTAACTTTATTAATAACCAGCACAACTTTATCATCCCTCTCCAGGGACAATAAAGTTGTGCTGGTCATCTATTGACTACTTTCAGGGAAAGTTTTGAATTCAAATAACATACGTAACTTCTTGTTTCTATCGGATGTTCTTATATAGTTAATTGGGGCCTCCTGCTTATAAGATTTTCATGTATGGTCTCTCATCATATCTCATCATCTATCTAACTCCATTCTAGAGATTAAGGAAAGACAGACACATGAATGACAGTGGGAATTTATAGGTCTACAATTTTTTCATATTGCAGTCCAATAACTTTAATCTTTGTAAAGACAGACCATGTAAGTTTTTGAATATAAATGGTGTTAATGATAGGACTAGCCAAACTTCAGGACATGATCAAACATCAAAAAATATGTGAAATTAGGAAAAAAAAGCTAATATCCCAAAATGCTTAGTTTTTGAGATAAGGATGGTTAAGATGCTATAGAAATATTCCTTTAAAAAAAAGATTAAATTAAAATAAATATTCCTTTTTTTCTAATAACTCAGAAACCATACAAGATATTTAGTTAAAATTTTTGTATGGTTTTTGCTACAGGACAACTACATTTTTAAAGGTTTTTATGCACGATTCTTCACCTTGAGCAGAGATATATGGCATGTCTTTACAAAACATATGTGACACCATTGAGAAACTAATTAACTTTGATGTGTTTTAAATTTACCTCAAATTTAACAAGAAATATTACTGTTGCATGTTTTCTCATCTGCAACATTTTGCTGAGTCTTTTTTTTTTTTTCATTTGTTGATGTAAAAAGTGAGATTCATGAACTTTTGTTCTTACATTATTAGTGAAATCTTACTTTATAATGAGTGAAAAGAGAGATAAACAATACTTGGATAGTGATAAAAAACAAAATAAAACATCTGAAAAGAAAAGAAAAACATAGCTAAAGTTTATGAACAAAAATTGAGAAGAGAATGGCTAGATAATGAAAGATTTACTTCTTGAATGTAATGTAAGAAAACAAAAGCAAAGTATTTTGCAAAGTTGTGATATTACAGGAAGTATCATGAGTTAAAAGATAAGTGAAGACATAAGCATTTTAATTGCACAAAAATTGCACAAACCAATACTTCAAAATAACTAATTTATTGCAAGCTGGACCATCTTCATCTGTTTATTCAAACCAAGTAGCAGCAGCAAAGTGAAGCTCTGTACCTTTGTTGTGGAATACAATCTATCAATAACAGTTTTAGATTATTTACGAAATTAGACTGCTAATATATGCTATAATTCTAAAATTTCCAAAGGTATTAATTGTGTGTAAACAAAAATCACTGATTTGTTTCACTCTATTATATAACTAAGCTAATTTCAAAATTGAAGATAATGAAGTTTTAATTAACTACAGATGAAACACTCTTGAACAACTTGTTTGTTAGTTAGATACTATGATTATGATGTTCAAAAAACAGTGGATAAATATTTAACTCTGCTAAAGATAACAGATTGCAACACTAAAAGAATTTTTGATTCTTTAATGTCATTTTTTCAAAAGCATGAAATTCCTTTAGAAAATCTTGCCAGTTTTACGAGTGAAAATGCAGAGTAAGTAGTGAAGAGAAGATTGAACCAATGACCAACTCTCATCCTCTGTTTCATATCAGCAGTATTACAAGATAATCAACTACGATATTGGAACAATTACAGAACCCAGTTAATAAGATATACTATGTTTTTTAGCTTTCATTTTACTTTGTGTTAATAAACTTAATCTTGAATTTTAAATTTAGAGCCTTAGAATAAGCAAACTAAGAAATTCAATTAATAATAATGTTAAAGAAATCCTCAGTTACTCTTTCTAGAGAGAAATAATTAAGAACAAGAACTTACCCAAGATCAATGAAAGTGATCCATCAATTTATCTTCAAAAAGACAAAATATATCATGAAGTCAAAGTTAAAGCTATTTATATTAAAAACACATCAAGAATAACTAATAAAGAGCTTAAAAAATTCCAAATTGCAAACTTTGAATTTTTATGTTAAACTAATGAAGATGTTCAGGTAATTCTTGTCAATTGCACTGGACATGTTTACAAATCTAGAACTGCTTGAAGCAATGAACCCTACTAATGTAAATGATCAATTATCTCTCGAGCCTTGAAATTTACTATTACAATATCAAAAGATGATCATGAAAACTTAAACAAAAAGTTAAGAGAAATTACAAGATACAGGTCATCTTACTGAAAAGGAATTCAAAAAATTCTGGTATACAATTTCAAAAGAAAAATGTGAGTGTATATATATAGAGTAACTGTTAATATAAAACTTATCAGTTTTGACAATAAGGAATATATATATATATATATTCCTTATTGTCAAAACTGATAAGTTTTATATTAACAGTTACTCTATTCAAAACTGGATGACTTCCACACAAATTCTCACTAACCTAATAAGTTTATTTTCATTTCCTTATTCTCTGTTTGTGCTGAAAGAATATTTTCTGTATTGAATAGCATAAAAGTGAAAATCATTCTTCATTAAAAACTGGACCATAAATACACTTATATATTCAAAACACTTACTGAAAGAAATTAACTGCATAAAATGGGATCCATCTCATGAATTAATTAAAATGAAGCACAAGAACCAATATGGAGGAGATACTTTCTAAAATGTAGCTTCTTGGTCATTACGGTAAGAGTATATGTATATATATATAATATACACAGTAAGACCCCACTTAATACCGATTTAATATAATGTAGTCTGCTCAAAGCCTAGAAAAAAGCTCAAAATTTACGCTGATTTAAATTACCATGGCATTTCATTGATTCATATATAATACAATTATTTACAAACATGAACCAATCAGAAAAGATGGCAAAAAAGGTGTACTTTCTTTAAATCTATGTTTGTTTGGTGCAATTTTGCAAAAAATATAACATCATGGATGCCATGGGCAATATCGGCTTCACTTGGCAAGAATTAACTGATAAATGCACAAAGTGTGGAAGAAGTTATGGCTGAATGTATCCAAGAATTTTCAATGAGAAGAGCCTATCACTGTATTGTTAGTTTGAAAATTGTCAACCTAATACCTAATCAATACAGCAGGACTAGGAGATGTAGACGAGCAGGATATTAAGGAATTGCAGCAGGTTTCTGGTGAGAGCCTTACCAATAAATAACCTTCAAGAATTGGCAGAACATGGAATTCATGTGGAACTGGAAAATAGATTCTGAAAACAAAAAACCCAAAAAATTTCTCTACAGATATCCTTAGTAAAAGTTTGGTAATGATAACTGAATTGTTGATCAAACTGTAGCAAATGATCTAGATTTTGAAAGAAGTACAAAAGCAAAATGAGGCGTTTTGAATGCAATTTTTGGCTACTGACATTTGCTTAAGGAAAGAAAAAAGCAACAAATGAAATTTCACGACTTTATTACAAAAAAACAAGAATTTCAGAAAAGTCAGGACCTTCATCACAAAAAATGAACTAATTAATATATTATTATACATTTCTGT